AAATTTGATGAACGGATGAAAAAGCCCCACCCCCCAAAAAAATCAGCGCCTGCGGCTCAGGTCCTGTATTTTGCAAGCGCGTTGGACGGAAATTAGAGAAAACAAAAGAAATCATTGACTGGGAAATTAAGGAGTGACGAATTCTGAGCTTGCAGTTTCCACTTATTTTGAGAAAGCAGTTCCTATTTATTCGGATTTTCTTGTCCACTTTTATCATTTCTTTCAATAAAATATGACTGAAATTAATCCCAATAAATGAATCGATGAGATAAAAACAATGAAAAATCAACACCAAAGAGCCAATAGCACGTACTTTGCAAGAAGGTGAAAGAAAACAGTAAAGGCGCCCTCTAGGCGCCCACCATGAAGTTAAGGGCAACAGCACATGACGCGTCGCGTCGTGCGTCGTGTCGTGCGTGCGTCGTGCTTCAGGCGACGCGATGCACGACACAATGCACGACGCGACGCACGACAGCACAACGCGACGGGCGACGGAAGGGGCGACCTTTAGGCGGCAAAAAAAGCATCATGGAAAATACCTAAAATAGCACGACGCAACGGGCGACGGCACGACGCGACGCACGACGCGACGCACGACGCGACGCGTCGTGTGTGTACAAACGTAATGGCAAGAAGGGACGGTGCAACCCGACGGCACGACGCAAGGGAGCTGTAAAATAGTCCAGCCTTAATCCACACAGTTGGCGATCTTTGCAATCTACGGTGGTCAGAACGTATCATACAAGATATATTTATTGAAAAGGAGAGTCCTGGTGTTTTGCATTGATTTATTCGTTGAATTTTAAAAGTAATTTTGACAAATTCAAACTCACTTTCCAGTAGTCATTTTTCAGTTCATTTGAATAAATTTTTGGAGAAATTAATTTTAATAAAAATGGTATTCCACTAGTTCCTCAGTTAGTTAGTTTGCATAATAAACTACCAATCAAGTCCCTCAAGGGACTTGACTCGGATCAGAAAACATGTACAATCATCATTTAGCCGTACATTCAAATTAAAAGAACAGTCGGTATATACTGTGTCAGCAGACGTAATCGAATGCTTCAGTGTTTGTTTTGTTGTGAACATGACTGGAAATACTAGTCTAGCATTCCAAGTGTTACTCAATATAAGTGAGAAAACAAAAGGATGATAGGGGAATGCTTTAGCAGGAAGTCACGGGACTTGAGTATTGCACTTTATGTTGGCTTCAGAGATATATTATCAAAGCAAATAGATATTTATATACATATACAGAAGATAATTTCCACAACTAAAGATAGCCACCTACGGAGCTCTGAAAATGCCATCACATTTTGTCGAGGTGCTGATACAATTTATCCGAGGATGGCGACATATTGAGGTCGGTTCACATTTAAGGCCCTTCAATTTTGCGTTCATGTTTGCTCTCGCGCCAAGTATGATTCGGCCTTTACACGTAAAATGCCAACAAAGTGCCGTCATAATACAGATAATTTATCAAGGGCTCCTGAATTTAGGAAGTCGGCATCCTGATGTAATACATCGACACCCTGAAAATAATATCACGACATCCTGATATAACTTAATACAGGATAGTGACATCCTGAAAATAAGATCAAAACACGTAATTTATCACAGGATGACGACACCTTCCTGAGATACTTAATCAATTCGTGTAGGATATCGTCATCTCATTCTAAATTACCTCAGGATTTCGACATCCTAGCTTAAGAATGTTATCATCTAATAATGAATTATATTAACATGTCTTCAACTTAATTTCAGGATACCACCACCCCGCGAGAATTAATATGAGGATGCCCACTTCCTGATTTCACATGATGTCGTAGTCTCGTGATGAATTATCATACAAGGCCATCACCCTTTGATCTCAAGAAATCAACATTACGGCTATGCTATGTCGTCATCCAGAGATAAAAATGTCGCCATGTCGAGATCTCGACAAGTCGGGTGGCATTTGCGGAGCTCTGTACGTAGGACACAATTATACGTACACGCAGACTTCACAATCTAGTGGTGTTCACCACCATCTATAATGTATGCCGGGTGTAACGACGACTGCTACATCGACATTTGGTTGCCGAAAGCTTCATTAATTTTTCCACAAATTTAAAGAAGCTGTATGTTCCATGGATGCTCTGAAAAAATACTTCGCTCTCTTTTGCTCGCGTTTTGGTATTTCCCTGAGTCATTCCTCAAAAATTGCATGGATTTTTTTGTGCCAGCTTGCTTTCGTAAATTGAAAAATATTTCGGAAGAAGTGGCTCTGGTAAGAGGGTGGAGCTAGGATGGGCCATTGCTTAACTGTCAGGCTGAACTCGAGGTGACTGTCATAACATGGGATGTCAATCAAGAGGGTAACAAGGAAACTGTGCAAATGATATGCGACAATGGCGGCAAGGCTTATGCACATACAGTTGAAGTCAGCAAGTCGGAGGATGTGTATGCTGCTGCAGCAAAGGTCAGAGATGAGGTTGGTGAGGTTACAATGCTGGTCAATAACGCAGGGATTGGACAGTTTCAACCGGTATGGAAACTTCCTGTTCACCTTATCCAGAAAATGATGGCTACTAATGCCCTAGCACCATTTTGGGTAAGATTTTATTTCCTGCGAAACAAACGCCAAAGTGATTGGTTAATTTACAGGTTAACATGTGATGAATGTTTGTGGCAACACTGTGTGGAGGGACTGGGCACAGTGAGGCATAGAGACGATGTAGCTGTGGAGTTCTGGAAAAGATCAGTGGAGCGTAAGCTCCTGGGGATTCTGAAACTTGGAAGGGCAGTGAACCGTGCCAGTCTATAAGAGGGTTAAGGTGGAAGGTTGCCTGGGGGAGGGGGGCTAGGTGTGCCTTCGAGTATAGGGGACCCAATATGATGATGATAAGACGCCAGATTCCACTGATTTTGTAGTCTAACAATTCCTCAGAGTATACAAAATCATGGTTGGCAATCTTGATGGCTTATCTGATGCAGTAGAGGAACTCAGTGCTCGGTGCTGTTGATAAGTTCTGCCACTGACTAGCCAGGAACACATGCTTTGGTTTGCACAGTACGTTTGAAGGTTTCATGATGGGAAATTTGATTTAATCTCCTCCCCAGCTGTGATCTTTGTATTCGTTGAGTCTAGTAGACAGGTTCACATACCCCGATTTACACTTTGCCACATTTACTGGGGCTCTTGTACACACCGCAGTGCTTATCTGTCCTTGTGAGATTGAAGTAATAAGGATCTTAATCCCTAAAGATCGCCGTGTTGACAACTCAGATGCCATGCCTGCTGAGAAGGAAGTGGTGGAATTACTTGATCTAGGGTACAGGGGATCCTCGGTCACATCCTCTTATACTTCAAGGCTTCCAATTCCCCAAGATGAGCCTCTCCAAAATTATCCCCTCAGTTGCCTGAGGACAGACGAACCACTCTGACACACCAAAGAGATTTCGTAATAGTAAAGATAGTTAGTATAAACCACTTTAACCCCTGACCCTTGACCGACTTCCGATCTAGTATTGACCAATTTGACCTTGACTTCCGGTAACAAGTAAGTAGATAAGGGGTCACGACTTCCGGGTGACTAAGTAGGTAAGGGGTCACGACTTCCGGGTGACTAAGTAGGTAAGGGGTCACGACTTCCGGGTTAGGAGAGGTTAGTGGGTGAGCGACGAAAAGGTCAAAGGTGTGTGTGTCGAATTAGCGGGTGAGAGGTCGGATGATGGGGGCGTAGCCGCGGCAACGGTGGAGGAGGTGATGGGATGTTGTTGCAGGTAATTAATTAAAAGAGAAAGTTGCAAGAAGGAAAATAAGAAAATCGAACGAACTTATCCCGAGCTTCGTGCGCGACGTGCCTCATACTCCAAAGTTGATGTTCACAACATAAACACATAGACTGACACCAGGACAGAAAAGGAATTATCTCTTTTTTGAACATTTGTGACCCTGGGTAGGGTCTGGCGGAGATGCCCCGAAAATTCGAGGCTTCCATTTCAGCCCAAAGATGAAAACCTTCAAAGAAGCGGGGATCTCCAAGGAGGATAAGATGAAGCGGAAAGACTTCCAGTCTTCCATCGTCAATTCATCAAGCCTCTTGTCGGCTGACTGGAGCTCCTTTTTTACTGCCCACCCCGCCAGCTCTTTCAAGGTCAAAGGAGACCGTGACGGCAAATGGGTCGGGTACTCGGTGTCGACCCACCCGTGTCTTTGCGCCAAGCAGCACTGCAGCTCCACGGGTATCGGAAGTTGCAGTGCAATAGGCTCTGGAACTCGCAACCAGACGTCGCCCGTAGCTTGGTGTAGGTGTAGAAATACTGCATTGTCTACCGCGTCGGCAGCCAGCACCTTTGGGGTCACGGTACGGCCCATTAATTGATGATGGTCGCCGCACCGTCTCTGTAAGTGAACGTGCCGGGCCGCAGTCCACAAGTGCTTCAGCGTGCAGAGTTGTACCGGCGTCGAGCTACCTTTCTCGTACCAGAAAATAGCAAGTGTATAGTAAATCTTGCTATTCTCGATGATCTCTTCAGGAGGTTGGAGATCTTTTATATCTTCCCTTTAATATGGACCAATATAGACAATCGATCATGTCCAACAGAGTCTACGAGTCGAAACTCCATGGTGAGTCAGTGAAGTAATGAATTGCTTGGCCGTCTCAAGTGTTTTTTTTTGTCGCTCTGCGTGGTATTAGATTGTATACACGCGAAGAAATTAGGTAACGGAAGAACAAAACAAAACAAAAAAAAGACCAAAAGAATTCAGAATAAATACGGAAAAGACTAAAATAATTCAGAATAAATAAGAAATAGAGAGATAAGAATTGAATAGGACGGTTTCTGTATTTACACGGTGAAGGTCAAGTTGAAAAGATCCACGGTGACAGTCACGTGGGAAGGGTTCGAATCTGAAGCGCGCATTGAAATTGTGCGGCGACAATCAAACTCAGGAGAAATGTCCGAGACCTCCTCGCATGCACAGGACAAGAATTCAGTTAGAGGAGGAGGAAAGGACATGCAGCAAATACCAATACTGGATACACGGTTAATATCCCTATGTGCCAACTCAAAACGCTGAAGACTCTCATCAGCAAAGGTGCTACTGGACTTGCCACTAGCTGGTTTAAGCTCATCTTCGGCTGCTTCAGGTGGAATGGGCACCGAAAGATAAATATTGTAATTGCCCGAAGGAAAATTGAAGTAAGGGTGAGAACGATTGCCGTAGAGCCAATTTTTGGCTTTGGCTAGTTTGTCCATGGCGTTTACGCATGCATGATCAAGCACAAGTTCGAGGAAGACAGAATGAGAAGACGTCGACCTCGGAAAGAAATGCTTGGATGTGGGGAGATTCTGATCTTCCGGCAGGGGAGCAGGAGTTGGAAGTCCCAGAACTTGTATCATTTCATGCTGGAGCAGGCAAAGGCGGAACTTGGAAGGAGAGAGATCCTTTCCAGAATTAGGTTCCTCCTCATCAGGAGACTGATGACCCTCAGATACAGACCGGGGAATGCTCTCTCAAACAGAAGATCCCCGTAAGTCAATGGCAATACCAGTCCAATGTGGACAGTATTAACCGAGGGGTGAGAACAGCTGGGAACACCAACTAAGCGTCTAGACCGTAGGGTACCGAGTCAAGCACAAAGCTGCCCTGCGCAAGGGGCATATTCACACACGCTCCAGCTGTAGAAGAGTGCAGACAGGCCAAAGATGATGCTCGACGCTCGAAAAAAGCCCATAGGGTGAGACTCGCTCGCCGAAATGCCGTTATGAGTCACCCAAGTTCTCTCTCAAGCGACAGACTCAACTACTATATGCTCCAGAAGGTCAGTAGGGAGCGTAAGTGGGCCAGAGATAGATCTCGAAGGGACTGTGGGCGCACAAAGTAGAGGCACAGTAGGAACCTGGAATGGACCGGCATGCTCAAACTACTGCGAGTTGTGAAAATCTTGATGGTCAAAGGCAAACTCGCGTGCTCGACAGTACAGTACTGGAGCAAATAAGGGTATCGCATTGTCGCACCCCGAACGGCCAAAAAGTGAATAATAAAGTACCACACTGTCCTATTCCCTATGAGCTCAAGGATACCGCAACCAACGCACTACCGTCCCACTAAGCTAAGCAACCCCTAGCTCGGAGGCGACTGGAAATGAGAAACAGGGTGGAAGGACAAAATCTCTCCACACCGGAATCTAATGCACAGAAAAGGGGAGAAAAGAAAACAATACGCCCGTACCAAACTACAAATATACACAGAAATGGGCAAAGGCCAAGCTAACTAAATGCTTCTAATACTTTATTATTCCATAATTAAACAGAGGGAATGAAAAACAGACACAAAATATATACGTGTACATGAGCAAGACTTTCCATCAATTTTATCCGGAACACAACTATGTACAAAAATATACAAGAAGCCAAGAAAAGCAAGCAGCCTGGCAATTCCAACACAAACTAAACTAAAATGAACCAAAAGTCTGCAGTCAAAGGAACAGTTTACCGTTCAAAGGAACGAGTAGAAAATAAGAATAAAGTGTTGATCTAGAAATAACAACGTGACCGTAGGTAGCGAAAGAAATTCCCCAAAATATTCGGAGGACAAAACACATCCGTAGCATAACGGCACTAAGAAAAAGAGGAAGATGCATGGCAGCCGTTTCACAGGGTCGAGCAAGTGAGGGCGCAGTGCCAAGTGATGGAGAATTTAGCAAATGGAATGATGGAGTAGGAAATAATGCATATAATCTGCGTAGGTCGCAGGCAGTAGATCCACTTGTTATTACAGTGCCATCAGCAACATGAAACAGAAGCTACAGGTCTTTGTTCGGCCTCCCAACTCACCAGAAACATTTTGTTTCCAAATGGATCCAGAGACATCTATCTTCTCCTTGAAAGAGTTCGTACACAGTAAGGTCAGTGTCCGGCCCAAAAATCAATACATGTACATCAAAAAAACTTTCAGGTATGTGATAATGAAAATACAAATTTTTGCATTTGAAGTATCAAATATTAATCAGGTTGAACTATATTATGTCAATCATCCTAGTCACAAATGTAAAGAAGTAACAAATACATACAATACTTAGAAATGAAACCTTATGAGGTTTGGGGACTGCACAGTTTATTGCCTAAACATCTTCCCATGGGGTTACTTTTCCAGCTCTGTGACTAACTTAATCTTCAAAAGAGTGGTGTTGACAAGGACAAAAAATCCTTCTTTCTCTTTCCATGAAAACCTGAATCAAAATGGGCAGAAAGGTAAAATACTCAAGATGAGAAATTTGGGTTATTACATGATCATGCCCTCTCAAGAGAATTTTCTGATATCGAGAGTCAGGAATACAAAAGTTTTTTAAATACAATGATACCAATGTACAGGCCCTTTCCTATCATTTCGTGAATTGTTATTTCTTAAAGGTTAAACAAAGCTACCAGATAGGTTAATCAAAATCTGTTTAATTACCTTCTGATGACTTATTAAACAAAATAAACTCTGCGTCAATTGAACAAATTTCCATAACTAAAAACTGTTCTTACTTATCGAATTCATGGTGATTAATAAGTCATATAACGCATCTTGTAGTTCAAATTTATTTAACCATTCATTACCTGTTCTCAGTGAAAGTATTTTCTTTCATGACGTAAAGAAATCCCAACCAGACGAAAAGAAGTGACAGAAGAGCAGCAAAGTGAAGAAAGCAGAGCATCAACTCAAATAGGGAATGGAGCAACCTTCTGACAAAGACAAAACTCAGCTTTTCTCGTAAACTACGATGCAATATCGTAGTGGTCCTAGGCATCATCTAACTAAACGTTTGAAAACAAATAACATTAATTCATTTTTTGAATTTACCAATTTGTAGTTAGGATGACTGAGTTGAAATGAAACGACTAACATTTTTCCAATGCTGTATAACAACATCTGTGTTATCTGCTAAGAGATAAACCTAAGTGAGGAAAACACCATTTTGGCAGTTTAAGATAGGTGAGACAAATCCCGTACATGTTTACAGGAACAAAGTTGTTATTGTAGAACCTGATGGTTCGAGCTCTTTGAGTACAGCGAGTAAGGTGTATCATTTGTGCGGAGTTACGAATGGGAAGACAATTGGCGTTTTAGTTGCGAACTTGGGAACACAGCCATGGGTGATACCACCTTATACCAAGTTAGCTTCGTTGTTTGAAGCGTCGGTGTTGGACTGTATTGAGCTGGATCAGACTCCAGTTGGTATGCAGGTGTCTGTAAACCATGTGTTGGTAGAAAACACCGGGTGCTTAGACAACGATTCGTCTAAGACAAGTGACACTGCAAGTCAAGGGGGTGAGCCGATGAAGGCTGAAGGGGAAGAATTTACGTTTCCTGACGGGTGTCAATATCAGTTACCCCCAGGGCTTAGCCTTGAGTCTTGCAATTTGGATCAAAATGAAATGGAACAGGTTGTCCGACTTGTTCAGAAACATGACCAGGTCTTTTCAAAGAGTCAGTTTGATGTTGGTTGCTGTGATCGGATTCCTCACAGAATAAACACAGTTGACCACCAAGTAGTCAATGAACCGTACCGTAGAATCTCACCGCACTGTGTGCAAGAGGTAAAGTCAATTATATA